TGGCCACTAGAAATTTGTTTCCATTATTTGTGCTGGTTGAATAGTTGCATGGTTCTACAGATATTTTGAAGTAGTTTCTGCTTTAATATGCTCAGCTCTTCTCCTATAAGAGAGTAAGGTGCTAAGATGCTTCTACTTAAGTTTACCATCTTCTGTAGCTATCAGGAGCACAAAACAAAGCAAATCATTTATAATCCAGAAATTGGGCGGAATATCTTCTTTTAAGGAAAAAAATATTCATGTACAAAGGAAGAGAGAATTTACAAATTAGTCAAAATATCAATTAGGTTCCCTACATCCTCTGAACAAACAAAGATGGTGTCTACCTGATTTAGTTTCTTCTTTAGTAATGAGGAATATAAAAGAAAGAAGATCATTTTATTATCAAGAAATTAGGTGGATATTTTTTTCCTTTAAATGAAAAGGTATTTATAAACAAGGCACGAAAGGGTGCTGGCCATGTGCAAATTAATTAGAATCTCAATTAGATTCCCCATATCCTCCTCAAAAAAAAAAGGATGACCATTAAACAAAAAACAAAGAGCACGGAACCATTAGTTCATTACTCTCCCAAAAGGAAAGGCAACATCCTCAAAAGCCATATGATTCCCTTCCTTCCAAATAATCCACTAGGGAGCCAAGATTTCTTATCTTATCATCTCGAACACCTTAGCCGTGCCTGAAGCTTCTGCAAAATGACCTGAAAATTACCCATTTCAGAGTAAGGAGCTTAAAAGCAGCGCGCCAGTGGTTGTTAGTTCATTGTGTATTCTCTCTATTACTTGTTAGAAGAGAAGATCAATGAACTTGCTTTCTACCAACAGGATATAGGTTGTTGATTTGCTGAGAAACTTGAAGGACTAGGTGATTGACAAATATCTGAGTTTTTTTCCAGCACCTCTCTAATTTCTTCCATGTTGAGAGGGGATGATAAGCTTATATGGGTCTTAAAAGCTATTTTTTTTTTAATGTGAAATCTTTTTACTCTCATCTGGCTTAGGATAGTTCGATCCTCACTAACTTCCATGGAAGCTCAATCCACACCGTAGAATTGTGCTCTCTCTCTCTCTTCTTTTCTTTTTTTTTTTTTTTTGCAGGGGAAGTAGTGAAAGGTAGGAACCTCTCAATTAATAATCTCTAATGTATTATGTTTTTGTTATATCCTAATTGTATTATTATTTATTGTATATTAGAACAACAATTAAAATAAAGAATGATTTTGAGGCCCATGAACTTGAAATGTCAATGGTTAAAAGGTCGGAGATGGGGAGCATGTGGAGGAGATTACTCACTTTTTTTTTACTAACTATACACTGCTTTTCTGTGATCCAAGTGATAGAGCCTTGCTAAATATTAGATATATTATGTTAAGCATCCAAGCAATATCGAACCTTAATATAAGTCTTGTCAAGTGTGAGTTGGTGAGACTAGTGGATAGGAGGGATACTAAAAGATTAGCTAGTACTCTTAAATCTAAGAGTGTTTGTTGATAAAGATTTCATACTAAATAGAATATTATATTAGTTAGAGTTCTAATAGTATAAATTATATTCTATAATCAGAGTACAACTAGAATAAAGATAACCATTTTATATATATCTTCTAAATGTAAACACAAAAAATAAGAAATAAAATTTAAAAATTTATTTTTTCCAAAAACTTTATAGTATCAGAGTCAAAAGAAGACTATTTTAGGATTTTGAAAAAAAACCATAAAATAAGCAAAGTAGGCCAAAGTTGATACTCAACTACCAAAGAAACCAAACCCAACATCACCCATATGGAGTCACTGCTCAACCCCGGCCAAAATAGCCACAGGTTCCGTGCACGTCTGCCACACGCGCTGTCGGCAGCGAAGGTGCGTGAGCCACACACGCCGCCGGCTTCATCCCATTCGGTCCGAAAAACAGTGGAATACTGCCAGAAAAGCCCGATTGAGACAAATCTGGTTCCTTTCCGCACAAAATCCGACTTGATCGTGATTATCCAGCTTTTTTTCATGTGGCTGCGCGCATTTGGATGATCTGCTGTTCTGCGCTCTCCACCGTTCCGATCCGGCCGATTCGCGTCTGGAGACGGGACAACTGATTCTCCTGCACACCACGTTGATCTGGTCGCGCGCTGAATCGCACTGCATTGACCGGGCAGAGCCCCTCCCTCGCGCCAGTCCGCTTTTCCACGCACAGGACGTTTGGTGTGGCCAGTCTGCACACCAGACCACTCCAACCTGGTCCGTTCGTGCTTGAGCAGAGCTGTCCGCATCCGAGCTAGTGCTAAGCCAAGCTTAGCCGAGCTGAGCCGAGCCAAATCTGGTTTCGGTTTTTTTTGTCATTTTTTTTATTTTTTAGATCCCTTTTAGCTCCTTGTTGCGGATAGGAGGTCTGTTTTCATTACTGGGTATTTTTTCTTCTTATTTTTAACATTCTAAAATGACATAAGCAAAAAAGGTAAGTGTTACTAGTTTTGATAACCCTTCATTACAAATCAGTTCTATAAAATTTGATGGAACGAATTATTTTGCTTGGTTGAGATCTTATTTATTTTTCATCAAATTTAGAGGATTGAAGGGTTACATTACTGGTGAGGTGAATAAACTAGATGTTGGTAGTTTAAAATATAATTGATGGGACTCTGAGAGTTGATTGGGAATGTCATGACTCATAAATTCCATGCAACCCCATATTGTTAAAACATATCTGTTGCTTAACACTTCTGAAAAAATATAGAATGCAGCATCTTTTACATATCCACAAATGGGTAATGACGCTCAGATTTATGAACTTCGGAATAAAGTTCATGACACAAAATAAGAATAGATGACTATTTTTCAATATTTTTCTGAACTGAATGGATTATGGCAGAAGTTAGATTACTATCAAGATTTTCAAGTAGAGTGTCCTATAAATTCAATCAAATTTTAGAAATTGATAGAAAAAGTGTGAATTTATAATTTTTTAACTGGTCTGAACATCGAATATGATCAAACATGAGTCCAAGTGCTTGGTAAGGATATTTTTCCTTCATTAGAACAAACTTATGTTTATGTTCAGTAAGAAAAGAGTAGAAAAAATGTCATGCTTCACATTGCAACAGTTGAGAAGGCTGGATTAGTGGCTCAGTCTGATCAATCCAGAGATATATGGAAGTGTGACTCTTGTGGCAAGCCAAAACACACGGAAACTTGTTGGAAGTTGCATGGAAGACCAATTAGAGGTTGGGGAGGAAGAAGAGGTAAAACCATAAGAGGTAAAGCAAATTTTGTTGAAGTTAGGGAAACAACTTATTCACTATCCGTTGGAGCATTTTCTACAGAAGAAATTCAAAATTTGAAGCGTCTTTAGAGTCAACATAACTCTCCATCAATTGTTGACACATCAAATATAGTAAAATTAGGTATAGCTCATCTTATTTCCACTTCTGGTAATTGGATTATAGATTTTGG